TCTCATGACACCTTATTTCGTTCCTATTTTGTTCCCTTCTTTTGCATAATTCACGCACTAGTTTCGCAGGTAATTAACACAAAAGAAGTAAACAAAATACTCTCCTTCATATCTTGGTGTTTTCTCCTTGGTGCTGTGGAAGGAGAGAAACGTATGCAGATGCTGCATGACGACCAGTCAGTTGCGACCCAAAACGTGGCAACCCGCAAAAGCTTCGGGACTGCGGTCACCAGACGAGGGCTATGGGTGTTCAGCAGAGTTGATTCGCATCCGATCACAGACTCTCATAAAGCTCATGCGCTTGATTTCAACTGTTTCTCGGTCATATTAGCTGAAAACAAGAACACAACAAGAGAATTACAACAACACGGCCTTCAGGCCATCGACTGCGTAGATGGAATCGAGCCGCAGCTCGCGTGCCTTCTCAGCAGCTGCTGGCACGACGCCTTAAGGCTGCTGACCAAGACGTTTCGCGACGTTTGAGCTGCAAGCGATGCATTAGTAGAAGCATGATGAGTGCGGCCCAATTTGGAAGCTTGACATCATATCACCAAGCAGCTGAAGAGAAACTCCGTCTGCCCCCAGAGGTTGCTCGCGAGGCCAATAACCTCAGCGTGCCCAGTAGCGGGATTGCAGTGAGGTCAGTCGGATCGCAAACACGAGCACACCAGTACAGCGTGTTGCAGTGAGCTGAGCCGCTTACAACCCCAAGAAGCCCGGCGCCCAAAAGCTTTTCTGGAGACGTGTTCACCAAGCTGAGATCGCGCCTGCCGCTCTGGTACATTGACGGATCAACATGCCGAAAAGCAAGAGCACTGGCTGCCCGATTTTTCTAGCCTCAGTTCACCTGGCTTCCCGAAGACATAGGTCCAGGCATCAACTTCCTCTGCCTTGGGCCGTGAAGAAACCAAACCTCCGGCATTCCCTGTGCCTGGTCAAGCTAGTGCCTTTCATGAGCATCAGCGACGAGGGCCTCAGGTGAGCTTGTCTTTGTCTTTCCAGAAGAGCGTTGTCCCTCAGGTCGAGCGGCCGTTTCAACAGCCTGTCGGAAAGTTTCGGAAACATGTACACAACTTGGGGCTGTGGAGTGTAGAGCTCTACAGCGTCGCACTCCTGCTCGAAGCCCCGACCTAGTCTCGGACTGCATTGGAGGGCTTCCCTTGCTGTGCCTCGGCCTTCTCCGGTCGAGCTCGCAGCTCTGTCGCAGGAATTCTGGTAAAGCAACCTGCCTGAGCTTCCCATGGCTTCTTCTCTCTGGGATAGATGAGTCGCACAGAGGGAGCAGTCGACAACAAGGCATTGGTGCACAAGGCCAAGCCACAACGAAAGGCAGCCCGAATGCCGCAACAAACAAGTACTTCTTGCAGCGGCTGCGCTGCCATTGGCATGCAGGTCTCCGTGACATGGGCATGACTGGAACACGATAGGTGCGTGCTCCCGTGATTTCATGTTCGGTATCGTCGCTAGCATCTGAAGTGGAGGAAAAGAGCCCATGTCTGTGCTTGGAGCTGGAAGCCGAAATCGTTGATCCGCCACATGCGAGGCAGCATAGCGTCTTTCGGCTTTGTTGAGCTGATGATTCTGCTGCCTCTCTTGCAGCTCAGATTCGAATGGCTGATGTGGACCTCTGGAAGATCAGGTTCACAGACACCTGCAAGTCTGCACTCTTTCTTCAGCCGTGCGATAGACTTGATGCTTTTAGAAGCACATGCCGTGTCATTGGGATACGCACGGTGCCCGTGCTATTCGCATCTGCGCTGCTCCAGCGCAGCGTCGGGGTCTTGGCAGACATGCGTTTGCAGCTGCCTTCAGCACGGTCATTCTGTAAGAGGCCGGCGGTGACATTTGGAGGCTGGCTGGGAACTGGTGTGGCAGGCACAGAGGCACCGGTGACCTCAAAAACACACGAGCACAACCAGCCGCCGCGAAGGCACTCGACGCAGAGATTGCCTGCAGCTCGACGAGACCTGAGCAGAGATGCAATTCCATAACCTCGAAGCGCTGCCCCTGCTAGGCACCGTGCCGGCTGCAATGGCGCGTGGACCCAGCTCGCTTTGAAGTCCCGCCGCGAAGCCTGCAAAAGTGAAACTGGCTTCAAAAAAAAAAATTGCTCAAGCGATTCAGGCCGCTCTGTGCGAGTGGTGTCTCTCAAGGTTTCGCTTGGCGCTGCCTCCCACGACGATGCGATCCGACAGCTCTGCCAATTGGACCAGGTTGGAGTAGGCAGAGAAGTTCACCTGTTTCTGCCGGCAAGACCACGGAGATTTGGGGATTGCACAAGGCCAGCGGCTAGCTGCCAACTCCGGAAATGGCGTACAGTCTGGAGCCAGCCTGCAGCTGGCCCGCCACGACGCCGCTGCTCTGCAATCTCCGCGCGTCGCTGATGCCAAGCACTGCCTGAACGTAGTCCACGGAAACGCCTGGCTCGATATCCAGAGCTATCGCTAACATAATCGACGGTGCCCCTTTGCGATCCTTTCCTTTCCACAACACAACCAAAAACTCTTGCATGCTGGAACCGTGTCAAACCAAAGCCAAGCTACGAGTACAGTGAGTGACACGACAGTGCCGTACGTGCAACAGAACCAGGGCTCCAAACCGGCAGATTGGCAAAATCAGAGCGCTGGAGCTCGCAAGATTGATCTTTGAAGCTTCGTGGTACTGTGCATGGTTGTAGTATAGTTTGAAAAACACGAGTGATGGCATGTCACAACACTTCGGGAGCATCCATCAGGGAACAAGTCACCATCTGGATCAGCATGCACTGTTTTCAAACAGAACATCGCCTCTGCAGGAAGAGTCAAGCTGTGCACTTTCTAGAGCCTTCATGCAACCTTCTCTCTTCCCGGCGAGACCTTCCTCGCCGATATTCAGGGCAGCAGCTATGCTGCCGCGAAGTACACCAAGCTCCTGCGCTGCCTCGCCCCATGCCTGCCCGATTGATGGGGACAGCCCTCTTGTAAGAGCACATTGCACGTTCATGCGCCTGGAGTCGGGCAACGTTTTCAAAGTCCACCACCAACAAGGAAACGAATGCTTCCACTCGGGCTTGTGGAATGTGCATGCCTGATCAGGGCTTATGGATGTCGTTTACAAATGCTGGCTACCTTTCGCTGCGACTCGCCTGGAACAGCCATCGCAGCATCCAGGGTCACATTGCTGGCATCTCGAAGTGCAATGCTAAACCTGCACAGTGCGTACAGGCCCGTTATGCTACAAGCAAGCAAAGTCTGAGACGAGCCGCAAATTTGGGCTTGGATCTGCAGCAGGCGTGTCCAAGCCAAAGCTGAAGTGGAGCGTGCCGGCAGCATTCAGATCCACGTTTGAAATGCCAAGGACAGCTTCGCCAGGTCCAGGCCCCACCTGAAGCGAGGGAACAAAAAGCTCCGCTCGCATCCGCTCGCTTCGCATCGCTTCGCATCGCTTCGCATCGCTTCGCATCGCTTCGCCGTGCCTGGCAGTCCACTCTGGCCGAGTCCGGAAGCGAGGAGCGGAAGCCGCCACAGCGAAGCGTGTAGCCGACAGGAGCCTGGACCTGCACAGAACCCAACACAGGCGAGCCGTCAGATGCTGTCAGAGAGCCTGGATGTAGCTTTGGGAAGCACTTCCCAACAGGGCCAGAGCAGCAGCTCCAGGGCTCAGACTCACCTCAGAGATCCGGCAGATGGCGCCGCCACCACAAACTAGGAGGCAGTTTAAACTTGTGACGGCAGATGGAAGGATGATGGGCGCGGTCCTTATGACAGTCGACAGTTTCAAGAGCTATCAAACGATGCGTGATACGCAATTTGGCGGCAGTCACGAGAAATCGAAAACAGCAAACCAGATTCACGAGACTCTTGACGTTGTCGAAACGTGACAGCGACCAACGTGAAATATTGTAATACCGAAAAAGAATGTGATAAACAACGACATGCAGCCACACGTGACAGTATTGCACACGGCAAACGTTTCTCCGGCCTGCTTGTGGGGTTCATGCAGCAGCAGATGCGCCGACGTCCCCAGTCGTGGTTCGCCAAATCGTCTGTCTAAACCGTTTACGGCGAATGAACAACAACAATTGGGTTGGCCTTGAAACAATACCTTGGACCCGTAAAAACAACTTCAACAGCTTAATGCTCCGATTTATGCGAGTTGCGTACTGAAAACAAGCAGCAGACGCAACCAATTTAATTTGTCCCCAAGGTCAACAAAGCAAGCTACCCTTTCATGGCTTCTTGAAACACCTGCGTCAATCCACTGGAGCAGTTCAACCCGTTCAATCAAGTTACGCTTTCTCAGGGTGCGCTGTTTGTGAATCAATTACGCAGGCAGCATGCTTGACTTAGGTTATTGATGCTTGATCCAAGGTATTGATGAAGGAATTCTGGTTCATTCGCGGCACGTTGACAGGCATTCCTAATGTGACTTGCTCACTGCTTTCACCATGATGATGGAGGTGGCTGGGCATAGTCATGCTATTGATTGTCTTTGCTTGCTCGGTGGCTTCCTTGAATCCCAAAGTAACTTACTTGGGATACTTACAACTTCGCGGCGTGCCTGCTCGTCACCTGTGGACGAACAACCAGAAGCAGCTTCAAACTAGGGACACTTTGCATCTCTAACGTTGTTCTTAAGGAAACTTTTTCCTCAAAGAAGGCCAAATGCTATATGAGCTGAATCGTGCGAGTGCATAATGCGACTGAGCAGCTGCAAGATCCACCGAAAATGTCAACGCGACAGCTGGATACCTCGCATTCTCTGCAAAGTCGCCGCGATGGAACAGAATCAAGCGAACAGCTCGAAGCAGATCTTGCTTTCCTGTGCATAGATTGCAGCTGCCGAATCCTGGTGTGTAGGTGATACTTGCGGCTAGCGGCTAGTGGTAGGTGTTCGTGCGACAGGTCGATTGAATCTTGCCCGGCGCTATGACCAACAGTCAGAGGGGTCTCGGACCCGAAGGCAAAGGGTTTCCGGGTGCGCATGCGCACTGGCCCGTCGGACTGCAAACCGCACTGGCACCCTCGTGAAGCGTTCAGACACACCCTCCTGTTACTCCCCGTCAATGTGTGCTTTAGGATTGCCCGAAATTGTGTACGACCTCTACTAATAAACGGCCAGCAATTCACCACGGCTTCTTGCAGTTTGGTGTCGTTACGCTCGCGGGCATAGCACGCAGGGACACGCTGTTGTCAGAGGCCCACATTTTCGCCTGACTGCTTCGGAGCAACTAGCACACCAGAGCGAAGCCCGTCCGGCCTTGACGCCATCAAGCCTTCCCTGTGCAGGAACGACTGCCACCCAGTCGTTGCCTGGTGCAGTCCGGCTTTTGCAAAGGCTCGCTTGAAAAGAACTGGAAAATGTGCCGCGTGCGTCCAGAGTCCCAGGATGCAGGAAGCTCCTGCGCATCACAGCCGAGGCGCTTTGACAAAGCTCAACTGAAGCATTCCAGAGAAAGAAGTGCGGTCCACACGAAGCCCGAACCGCTCGCTGGTTGGCAGCAGCAGGGCAGCTTGACGACCAGTGCCATTGAAGTCCTCGCTGACAGGAAAGGTATGCAGCATCGCCACGTCTTGTCAACTCACCTGGGTGATGTCGCTGCACGGTGTTGGAGAACATGGCGAGACTATGACCTGAACTGCCGGATTCTCGTGTGAATTGGACACGACCCCATACCCCAGTGCACGGAATCTGCCACCCGTCTCTCACGGGCATTGCGTTGATGGAGTGTCAATACGCACCTTGCAATACCCATTACCGGACGAGTTGCTACTCCAACAGGTGCCAAAAGCCACAAATCGTCTACGACCTGCCAGGATGTGGACTGCAGGTTCGCGATCCATGCACTGCGCACGAGGTGCCTGGATATCTCCCGAGACCTGCAAAGCCAGAGTCTTGCTGTTCACCACTTGGCAGCTGTCGCATCCCGAGCCTGTATCTGCGTCCCTGGGGCCTCAGAACACATGGCATGCACTGCAGGATCCTAGGCGCCGAGGAAATCACGACGACCTTTGACATGCGGACTGCCGAACACGCGCCATTCAAGGGTCCCAACTCCAACCTGCGCTGCCATGTTAAAGGGTGAGAGCAAAGAGGAGGAAGACCAGCTTTCCTGCGCGCACTTGCAGTTTGTGGCCAGATGTGGAATTCGCAAACGACCTACGCGCCTGGCTCAAGAGACTGGTGAGAATCAGTCCATCATTTGTATTCACAGGCAGGGACCTTGTCTCATACTCGCTGCGTACAGTAAAAGCACGTACAGATCCACTCCGCTGTGAGCCCGCAACTCTGTTGAACGGAACGCTCGGAAGTTGAAGAGCTTCCTGCACTTGCTCCACACGGCTACAGTATGAGACGGCTGGAATGTGCGCCGCACCTACACAAAATCACGTCGGTGAAGGTGCCACTGAACAAGATATGTATTACAGGAATGCGAAGCTGAATCTACGGACACCCGTTCTGACCTGCTCACTTCATTTGTTGATGTCTGCTCAATCCTCAGATACACTGAGAATAGTCGGAACTGCAACGGTACAGCAGCAGTTTGTCTCATTGAGTTTGTGGCTGTCGTCGAAGGCGCGCGTTCAATTGTAGACAGAACACGGTCTCGGCGGCACGAATGTTCACACTCGCGAGGATCTCAAGTCTCGTAATGCCGCAGCTCAGGCCCTGTCACCAGGCGCCATTACGTCTTCTACCTCAGGTCGAGCAATGTGAAGATTGCATGGTCTGGCGAATGTGCTGCTGACTTTATCATAATGCAGCCTTGCAACAGTGATTTCCAAGGCGTTGGGAGGCTTGGCTGATGCAGAGGACGGAAAGTCGAGCCTTGGCCAGGTTGTCGACCGATGGGATCGAACCCTGCTACGTAAATGCACTGGCTCTGCCTGAACAGCCCCACATGCATGGACTCTAGACAAACATAGACGTTTGTGCGGGGCAAGGACATTTGGAATGAAATGCTCGAAGCCTATAACGTTGACACATACCCTGGATATATATATATATATATGTATGTAGGTGCATTACAAGTACACACACTCATATAAGTTATGCACATACAGACAATTCCTGTCAGCAAGCGCTTTGGTTGGCACACAGTGGCCACTTTCTTATCCCACCACATTCCTCTGAACTCAGTACTCTGCCGTCTTTCGACGCACAGGTCTACAACAAAGGATGCTGTTGCAAATGCTCACTTCATGCTGGTGCGATAGCTTGTTCGAATTGTCGCCGACCTCCACGATGGGTGCCAAGGCCATCAGTAAATCAGAGCCTGCCTGCCAGTGCCAAGTAGCCAGGAAGTTCGTCCATGCTTTCAGATAAGCAAGCCGCACCCATCCCCCTTCATCCTGCCACCACCGGTGCGTCAAGATCTTGCGGGAGATGGCGAAGACAGGATCTTCCAGCTCCCATCGTCTTTCACCTCTGTTCTTTCCCGCGTTGAAGTGGACTGCTTCCAGGTTCCTGAAGGTGCAGCGATGTCAAATGGTGGCTGGCCTCTGAGAAGTTCACGCGCCGTGCTTGACGATCGCTGCAGGGCCGAAGGATTTGCTTCTCCATAGGCTGTTCAACCACCCAGCTTCAATCTGCCTGATAATGCAAGCACAAGCCAATCCCCGGATGCAACATAAACAAGTTCGAAAGGATATGCTACTTGCACAGGAGGTGCTGAAGATTGACGGACGATGTTTCGGAGCTGCAGCTGCGAGGTAGCGCAGATCACCTTGGTACCAACGCAGCAGCATGCACTGCACACCGACCGCACCCACCCGCAGCTACGTGCGCAGGGAAGATCACTCGCTTGCCTCTGACAGCTTCAAACAAAGGCCTGAAGCGAGTTTCAATCCTGCGCCACTGATGCACAGCCTGCGTGAGACCCAGGAGAACTTCCCAACCACGCCGAGCACGTCGACAGAGAGACAGACAGACGTGTATATGTATACACACGTGCAATAACTTGACACAGCTAGTGTCGCCGATAATTCATCAGGTGTGGCTTAGCCTCTTGCCATACAAAGAAAATGAGCTTGTACCAGTATGAGGTCCGGGGCTTGCCTCAGGCCATTACCCGAATCAGTTCCAACATGTTTCAAACTGCAGGTATGCTGGGATTGAGACTGAGGACAGAAGGCTTCTTGCTTGAAACTGACATAACTCCCTTAAACACAGGGTTTTAACTAACTAACTAACTAACTACCTACCTACCTCCCACTAACTAACTAACTAACTAACTAACTATCTATCTATCTATCTATCTAACTAACTAACTAACTAACTAACTAACTAACACACGGCATCACCCCGGCAAGGCGAAGCAAGTTTGTCACCGCACTGGAAATCTGCACGCTTCCTGACTTAAATCGCATTCTCGCCTGTCCGATCCAAGCCACTATCTCGGCGAAGCTCCTCGGAGGCGAATTGCAAAGCGCTGCCATCCTGGGCGACGGCAGCTTGGACCTTGGGATGCGGCAAACGGCTGGCTCTGCACTGCAGATAGCCGTTTGTGGATGCTTGCGGCAAGCTGCTAATTCGTGATCTGCTCTGAAGGCCTCTAGGGCAAACTGCAATGCCGCACCTGGTCTGCAAGCCGTACAGGGTTTCTTCTCACATCTCAGGCGCTCGAAGGCACGCCGTGCCTCTGCGTGCAAGCAACTCCAGCATCTCTGTCCGACTCTCGAGCAGCGACCGGGATATAAAGCGCGAAGCACCCAGGTTTTGCGCCAAGGCAGCAGAAACCACCTGTCTCAGAGCCAGGGAAAGCCCGTTCAAGATGCTGACGAGTTTTCTAGCCTCGGCGTCTTTCTGCATCTTCTCTCCAACACCTGAAAACGGGACCAATCCGATCCGAAATCGCAGCACTCAGCCGTGGCCCCGGCTCTGCAAAGCGCGCCAATCGATGCGGACTGCTTCGAGGACCACGTCTCGGTCATTCTGCAGATTGCTGGCCTCGGAAACGACAGGCCACGGCCCTTCATGCCTTGTGGCCTGGTGAGTTTGACACGTCGGCCCGTGCCGCAAACAGAAAGGAAATACACCGGATACACTCCACGCACGAACGTTCACAGAGCTCACTG